ATTTCAGCTCACTAATGCCTAGGATATCAATGTTTATGTGTTCTATTTCATTTTTGGCAACTTCCAATTTTCCTAGTTTCATACTTCATATATTCCATGTTCCGATTATTAATGGATGTTTGCCGCTGTTTCTCCTCAATTTGAGTGGTGCCACATCAGCAAATGGAGGTCTCAAAAGCTTTACCTTATCCATAGGAGTAAGGCTGATTTTACTCTGATAATGCAGCTCTTGCCCAGTCCTACTTGAGAGCTTTCTAAGCTAAGTGACTCATCTTCCTCTTCTGTATTGGACAATGTTTCTGGACTATTCATACAGTTGCGCAGTAATGTATCAGACAGTGTTTCTCTGCACTCATAAGGTTTTCCCTGGCCAATTCTTTCAGAAGTGAATGGCCTCCTCCTTCTTCCTAGTCTGTCTCAGTCTGCAAGCCGGACTGATACCTGTGCACCATGTGCACCCCACTGGGTTTGAAACACCAGTGGCACAGCCTCAAGACTCACAGCAACACGTCACCACAGTAGGACAACCGACAGACAAGTTTGTCTCCCTTAGCTGTTGGAAACCTCTCCAACCACCCTTACCTGGATCCCTGCGGCTGACTCCTCGATCTGTTCCAGTCCCCTTTGCCTGTACCCCTAGGACCTGGATATCTTTGGCCCTGCCCCCCCCCCAGCCCCAGGGAGCCCTTACCACAACCTCCCCTGGCAACCCAGAAGCCCTAAACACAGACCATGGGACCCAGCTGTCACTGGCCAGGACCCGGATGTCCTTGGCCCTGCCCCCCAAAAAAAAATGGAAGTCAGTCCTGCGCCCTGGACCCGGATGTATTGGCCCTCCTCCAGCAACCCAGAAACCCTGTAACCTATACCTTCTCACTGGCCTGGACCCCCAGAACCCAGATATCTTTGGCCTTACCCCGCCAGACCCAGAGAGACATTACCACAGCCTCCTGCAGCAACTGGCAGCTCTTTACACATACTTTGGGACCCAGATATCAGTGGTCTGGACCCCCAGAACCTGGACGTCCTTGTCCCCACCCCAAAAAACAGAAGTCCTTCGCCCTGGACCTGGATGTATTGGTCCCTCCTCTGGCAACTCAGAAGCCCTGTAACCTATGCCTTCTCACTGACCTGGACCCCCAGAATCTGGATATCTTTGGCCCTGCCCCCCCAGACCCAGGGAGCCCTTACCACTCTCTCCCTAGGCAATCCGGAAGCCCTTGACACTTACCTTGGGACCTGGAAATCACTGGCCTGGGCCCCCAGGACCCAGATGTCCTTGGCCCCACCCCAAAAAAACAGATGACAGTGCCACTCCCTGGACCAGGATTCATTGGTCCCTCCCCCGGTAACCAGAAACCCTGTGACCTATACCTTCTCACTGGCCTGAACCCCCAGGAACTGGGTATCTTTGGCCCTGCCCCCCCAGACCCAGGGAGCCCTTATCACTGTCTCCCCCAGCAGCCTGCAACCCCTAAGCACATACCGTGGGACACGGCTGTCACTGGCCTGGACCCCCAAGTACATGGTCCTTGGCCCTGCCCCAAAAAACTGAAAGTCACCCTCGCCCTGGACCCGGATGTATTGGTCCCCGCCCCCCAGCAACCCTGAAGCCCTATAACCTATACCTTCTCACTGGCCTGGACCCACAGGACCCAGGTATCTTTGGCCCTGCTCTCAGACCCAGGGAGCCCTTACCACTGTCTCCCCCGGCAACTCGGAAGCCTTTGACACTTACCTCGGGACACTGCACCACTAATTACAGGTACAGGGGTTAAGATTTCAACACATTTTGGGGCACACGATTCTATCCATAGCCCCCCCCCTCCTGCACAAGCCTCCTTCTCTTATTAGCATCTTGTCTTCCTGTGGTAAGTTTGTTACAACTGATGAGCTCGTCCTGTTGCATGCTGGCTAAATAAAGTCCACAGCTGACCGCAGGGTCCACTCTCTGTGTTGTGCAGTCCTGTGGGTTTTGACACACATGTCATGCCACGTTTCATGGTGGCTATTTAAGTCACTGTAACGAACAATCATTTGAAAGCACCAGTCACGTGTGTTCCCCAAACCTTTACAACTTGGGGATGAGCACAGGTCCGAAAGCGTTCTAACAGTCCGACTCTTACAAATGTGGCCCTGTGCTCCGTTCCAGGTGCCTCGTCCCCTGGCGAAGCTGGTACGGAATTATCAATGTGGACTTTGTCTCGCAGCAGATAAAAGGGGAGAAAGCGAGAGTGGGCCCCAAGCTCTGCCAGTGTGTGCACCAGACACCCGTGGCATGACGGGGTTCTGTTCCCTGGCGCTCCTGCTGCCTGTCCTGCTGGGCTGTGCCGGTGGCCACCCCGTGCCGGGGAGGGCCAGCTTCCACAAGCTGCTGCTGATCTCGTTCGATGGTTTCCGTTGGGACTATGACCAGGACGTGGACACCCCCCACATGGACCGCCTGGCCAGGCAAGGTGTGAAGGCCAAGTACCTGACACCACCCTTCGTGACCATGACCTCCCCGTCACACTTCACCACCATCTCAGGTAAGCTGGGGAGACTGAGGCAGTGCGCGCAACGGGGCCGGCCTTGGGAGAAGACCTGACCTAGACTATCATGGGATGTGTGGGATCTATTCTAGGTGTGGTGTCCCCCAAAATAGGTGCTCTCGATCCTAATCGCTGGGGTGAGAACCCCATCTTAGAATGGGTCTCCTCTGTTTTGTTAATGAGCCAGAACTAGGGTAGGATGTGTCTTAAGTCAATTTCTTTTGAGAAATAAAGACGACTAAACAAGCAAGTAAGGATACAGAGAGAGAGGCCAAGCCACATGAAGATCTCCCAGGGACCAGGGAACAAGGGCCTTCCCCGAGAGCCGACAGAGAGAGAAAGGCTTCCCCTACAGCCAGTGCACTGAACCGGGACTTGCAGCCTCCTAAATTGTGAGAAAATAAGTTTCTGTTCATTACAGCCACACAGTGTGGGACTTCTGTTATCACAGCCCTAGATAACTAAGACAGAGCCCATGGGCTCAGGGAGCCGGCTCGCCATTGGTGACAAGTGAACCGAGACCGGAGCTGCAGCTACTACGTGGTGCCCTCACACACCCTCCATCTGCCTCCCACTCACTCCCACCGCGTCCAGGCAGCAGATGGTTCAAGTCGTTAGAAAATCATCGTTGCAGAGTCCAACTGCCCTGCATTGGTTTTCACAGCCGTGACCTCACAGGAGCAGACTGCCAGGGCTTTCCTCCGAGGCACCTCTGAGCAGGAGAACCACCAAACTTTCCATCGGCAGCCCAGCACTCACCCGTTAGTGCCACCCAGAGATCCTTTTATAAAAATAAGAGAGCATTCAAGTGTAAAGAATGCACTTAGATCAGATTGCCCTGCTTAAAATCCTGATAAAAGTGTCCTAAGGCATCTGACTGCTACCAGAAGGCTGGAGGTTCACATCCACCAGCCACTCCTCGGAAGGAAAGTTGGGCAATCTACTTCCATAATGATAGCACCTTGGAAACCCCAGAAGGGGTCGCTCTGAGTCGGATCTGACACAATGGCAGTGAGTTTTCGGTGCTTTTAGAAGAGATTTCAAATCTTGTCATCTTGGGGCCCAGAATAACAGCCCTGGTGGCGCAGTGGCTAAAGCACTCGGCAGCTAACCGCAAGATTGGCAGTTCGAACGCACCAGCTGTTCCGCGTGAGAAAGGCGAGGTAGTCCGCTTCTGTAAAGATTCACAGCCTTGGAAACCCTGTGGAGAGTTCCTATAGGGTCACGGGGAGTCAGAATTGACTGGATAGCAAAGGGTTAGGGTTTTGGGTTTGGGGCCCCAGAAGGTTTTGAGGGACCTGTGGGGGGCTCTCTCTGCCCACATCGCTCATTCCTCTCGCCCTCGCTGGCCCCTCTCTGGATCACAGAGGCCTCCTGCCTCCAGCCAAGTTCCCTTCTGCCTCTGGGCCTTTACCGTGCTGGTCCCCAGCTCACCCGGAGCTTATAGTTCAGTGGGGGAGACAGACAGACACCGAGCAAACACAGTAATAACTGCCATTACAACTCAGAGAGGTGCTGAGAAGGCGGAGGCAGCTGGCTCGACTCTGCTTTAAGTCAGGGAGGCAACGAAGGGCTGCTGAGGTTGGGGCTGAGCACTAAGAGAGACCTCAGGAGCCAAGAGCAAGCAACAGTGTTCCAGGCGGAGGGAACAGCATGAACAAGGGCTCTGTGACAGCAAAGAGCAGGGTCAATCCAGAAATGCAGTTGTCACTCAACGGCGGGATTCTGACCCAAAAGGGAGAGAGAACAGGGGGGACTCGAGATGCTAAGGACTCGTGTCCAGTAAGTCACAGTAGCTTCCCTTTCCGGACCATCTCCCTTCCTCTTGCCTCTGCATCCTTTATCTCCAATACAAGGAGCCCTGTTGCTGCAACAGGTAAGTGCTCACCTGCTAACCAAAAGGTTGCTGGTTTGAACCTACCCAGCAACTCTGTGGGAGAAAAGACCTGGTGGTCTGCTCCTGTCAAGGTCACAGGCTAGGAAACCCTATGAGGCAGTTCTCCTGTCAGGTGGGGTCGCCAAGAATCGGACTCGAGGCAACGGAACCCAACAACAACAACATCCCCAGTGTAATGAACACAGGCAGTCTCCAGGTTATCAACATCCGACCTACAGCAGCTCCTGTTTGCCCTTTAATGTGATGCAAATTTGCCCTCGCTTTGAAAGGACTGAACCAGCCCCTACTCGCAACAAAGTCTTCGTCACACTCATCTTCACTTGCCCGTGTGCAGCTTTTAAATCACTGAGAAACCGAAGGCCACACTCACTGCCATCGAGTTGATTCCAATCACAGAGACCCCCTTTGGGTTTCTGATGCAGCGTCTCAACGGAAGTAGATTGGCTTGTCTTCCTTCTGCAGGGTGGCTGGCGGGATTGAACCGCCAACCTTCATTAGGCACTACACCACCAGAGCTCCTGGCTTTTCTTGCCCTAAAGGGTGACTAAATAAGAACTGTATGCACCTGTTTTGACTTACCTACAAATTCTTAAAGGCACAGTTAGGAACGGATCTTGTTCGTAACCCAGGAACTGCCTATGCTACAAGGCAGGTATTGCCCCCATTCTACAGATGAGAAAACTAAGGCTCAGAGAGGCTGGAAAACTGACCAGTCCCTCAGCCAAGAAGGAGACGCACAGAATGGGTTCTGCCCAGGTTCAGAGCCTGGAGTCTGCAACCCCCCTCCCTCAGCCTCCTCCCACAAAGGACAGGCCAGGAAGGGGCGCCCAGCCTCGAGAGCCCCACTCCTGCCCAGAACCACTCTCTCCAGAGTCCAAGGGCGGCTTCAGGACCGTGATCCTTCTGGAATCCCATGCAAATCACAGGGAGCTTTTTCTGGAAAAAGAAGGCGTCCTTGGGTGGTGCAAACAATTACACACTGGGCTACTAGCCAAAGGCTGGTGGTTCGAATCCACCAGATGTGCCTGTAAGGAAAAGCCTGGTGATCTGCTTCCAAAGCTGGCAGCCACTGAAAACGCTGTGGAGCCCAGATCTACTCTGATGCACACGCTGTCGCCATGAATCCGAATCCATTCAACAGCAGCTGGTTTCTTCCCTCTGGGAAGAGAGGTTTATGGCTCCCATCAGACTCTCCAAGGGGTCCTTGAATCAAAAACTTCACAAATAAAAGCACTCAGAGAGAGATTTGCTGAGGTGGGCTTTCTGCACGTGAACTCGTGGAGAGGCGAGCCATTTGGGAGCTATTAGTGACGGAATGCGGGAGCCAAATGGCCCTTTTCTGGAGACAGCGAACACCACTTCCCACCAGCCTTCGCTTCAGACACTTAAGAGATCTCCCGTAGGCAGACTCTGGGTTCCTGAGTACTGAGAATATAATGGGCACAGAATTTGCACAGTTATTCTCAGAAGAGGTCTGAAGAGCAGATACAAACCTGAAGAAACCCACTGCTGTCAAGCCAATTCCGACTCACAGTGATCTTACAGGACAGAGCAGAACTGCCCCATAAGGTTTGCGAGGCTGTCATCTTTGTGGAAGCCAACTGCCACATCTTCCTCCCATGGAGCAGCTGGTGCGTTTGAACCAATGACCTTTTGATCAGCAGCCAAATGCTTTTACCACTGAGAAACCAGAATCACACAGATAGACTTGTAGCATGTGCAAATACGTATGTAGAAATACCCTCTGCCAAACCTATACATGTTGTGCTGTGAGAGGCCGTCGAGTTGGCTCCAACTCATAGCGACCCCGTGACAACAGAACGAAGCACTGCCCAGTCCTGTGCCAGCCTCACAATCTGTGTAAGTCATGGGTACACTTCCGTATGCCATCCCACACGTGTCACCTTGCATGTCTACCTATGCATCTACTCACAGATCACTGTCTGTTGTTATTAATGCAGGATCATGTAGGTAACAGTATTCCCCATCTGCCCTTGACTCTTGTACACCTCCCGGGTCGTCCTTTGCTTTGGCCATGTTGTGCTGACCACGCCCCTTATTTCCTATTGCCTGTCTCTCCACCTGAGTTAATGTGTCTACTCTCTAATGAGTGATTTTCCTCCCGCCCCCTCCCATCACTGGTAACCATCAAAGAATGTTTCTATGTGTAAGCTTTTTCTTGACTTCTTACAGTGCTGGTCTCCTGCAATATTTGCCCTTCTGTGATTGACTTATTTCACTTAGTATAATGTCTTCCAGGTTCATTCACATTATGAGGTGAGGCGCTGATTCTTCATTATTCTTGACTGCTGCATAGTATTCCATTGTGTCTATGTACCATAGTTTGTTTATCCATTCATCCATTGATGGGTGCTTAGACTGTCTCAGTCTCTTTGCTATTGTGAATACTGCTGCCATGAACATGAGTATGCATGTGTCTATTCATGTCAGGAGATCTGGTGGCACAGTGGATAAGGCACTTGACCCACCAGCCACTCCGTGGAAGGAAGATGGGGAGATCTACTTCCATCAAGATTTACAGCCTCAGAAACCCAATGAGGGTCGCTGTATGAGTCATGAACGACTCGATGGCAGTGACTTTGGGTTTTTTTGTTTATTTATTCATGTCATCACTCTTAGTTCTCCAGGATACATACCTTGTAATGTAAATGTTGGTATCCCTATTGCTAAATTTAAGGAAGTGACGTAACGTTTTACACAGTGGTTGTACCATTTTACAATCCCACCAGCACTGTAGGAAAGTTCCAATCTCTCCACACCCTCACCAGGTTTTGTTGTTTTATGGTTTTTTGATCATTACTGAGATGATATTTTGTTACTGTTTGGATTTGCATCTAATGACTAATGATTGCAAGCATTTCTTCACGAATTTGTTGGTCACCTAATGTCTCCTTCATGAAATATCTGTTCGTGTCCTTTGCTCATTTTTTAATTGGATTGTTTGTCTTTTTGTTGTTGAGGTGTTCAGGTTTTCTATAAATTTTAGAAATTGGTCCTTTGTCAGATGTGACATTGCCAAAAAATTTCTGAAAATTTTTAAAATCACAAAATCATCCCAACTTCTCTCCAACATTCCTTG